CTTTCTTGTTTTTCTTACCTTTATTTACAAGAAATCGAATTTCTATAAAAAACAATTAATATTTTCTTGAAAAAAAATTATTTTTTGATATTTTGTTATGCCTTTAAAATTAACTAATACAACATATTGTTTAAGAAATAAAATTTGATTTTTTTTTTAGTTCATGAATTTTTTTTGCCTCAAATTGAGAAAAATATTTTACAATTTAGGTTTTTTTTTTCTTTTTCTTCTACTTCTACCTTGAATTCTAGCAAAATCCTCCCACTTTTTCTTCTTGGAAGTGTGGGCAAAATACCCAATTCTTCTTCCTTCTTCAGAATTCGTTATACGTTTTCTGTTCATGCAACAACTGCAATGTGGTGCTCGCCAGATCAGATAATAAATAAGATTACATTACCTGCTGATTTGAAGTATTTGAAGTTGGCCACTCACTACGTATTGTAGTACCAACCAGTTTGTCTCTTATCGAAATCAGCTGATCTACAACAAGATTGATGCTCATTCTTTCACTTGGGAGTTCAGTAGAACAAGAAACACCAATCCCCAGGATTGATGTCAAGCACTCCAATGCTCTTTGATTTCTCGTTGTGCTTCCGGTTCTGCTACTACTTGCATTCCCTGCCTCTCCTTCGAAAAGAACTGGATCCACAATCTGTATCACATGGTCCGGCAAAGCTGTCTTGACAAATTTATGAATGTTATCACCTTCATTAAACAAGTCATCAGTAGGTCTCTTCCCAGTGAGCATTTCTAGCAACACAATTCCATAACTGTAGATATCAGTAGGTTCTGCTACTACTTGCATTCCCTGACTCTTTGGTGCCGATGACCGCACCTGATGCCATGCCATTGACAAAAATGATTGGTACCATTCCATACACTCAAAGCCCCAAAAGGATCATGAGTTATTTTAACCTTGAATTCAAGTAAAGCTTGTAGGTCAGTCTCATTTCCACCAGCGGCAGAGACAGAGATTGCTGAGTTCAAGCAGAGGAGAAGAGCAATAGCATGGATGAAAGTAGATAAAGACAGTGATAAATTCATGTGGGAAAGACCCATATGTACCTAGAAGGAGAAATTCTAGTGAGTTGTTAGGTGTTTGCTTTGGTTTATGGACTCATCAAACTAGGCTGTAGGGACTCATATTAATATATAGATAGGAAATCAGAAGTTTACAGTGTTTGAAGTATGATTGTCATCGCAACTAAAGTAGAAGGAAAAGGTGGGAAAAATATGCCACAAATATACAAATATATGATGAATTGGCCGCGAAAAGCAATCAGCCAAAGAAAACTATTGTGGAGAAGCATAAATGTTGCTGGGGAGTGGCTACATATTTCCAACCCCGACAACAAAAAGATGGAATTTTTCATATTACATATTTCCAACTCCAACAACAAAAGATCATACCACTAAGTTTTTAAACACAAAATCAGATTAAATATAACATTAAAATTGCTCTTAAGCTATAATCAGATTCGATTAGCCTGCTTTTCCTAGGTATGTTTGAAACGACTATGTTCAATTATGAGGTTGATAAGTTCTTTTGATATGAACACCCTACAGAATAAGTTCCACATTACTGTGAAACTGTGTTTTTAGTATGACCAAAATCATTTGGTTAAGATGGGCATATAATAATCATGTCATTGAGAAGGACATATAATATTAGTAGCATTAAAATTTTTGCTCAAAATAATGAATATCAATTTCAGAAAACGCTAAGATATTAGAGGAAGTTAAATTTTAAATTAAAATCCTAGATTCTTAAAAGAGTTAAAAGATAATCTTGAAAATCTAATATTATTTGTTAGTATTCATATTTCTCTGTTTTAAACTGGCTCCAAATATACAAACAAATGAGCATAATATCAATATATTTCACAAAGAGTAGAAGTTAAACAGTAGATCATAAGAATTTATGAATTCTAATTCTTTTATCAGTATGCCATTAATTTAGATAGCTTAGTAAATGCTTGCAGACCAGGGTACGTTAAGAAAATTAGGTAGCTGAAGAGGATTTCTTTAATTTGTAGAAATTGGAAAGCCAAGTGAAATTCAATAGACTTTGTATTGTATTGTATTGTGAGATTGCACTTTTGATTAGGCAGTTTCTTCATCTTGCATTGAAGCTATTGCTGTTGCAGGACCAAATATCTACTGTCCAGAAGAAAAATTTAGCAGCAAGGAGATCTTCGTCTTCCTTGAATAGCTCCAAATTTGACTGTGCGAGTAAGACGTCTACGAGCATCTTCCCTCTTATATGTATGATATTGTTTCATATAGCCTTTTCTTGAACTAGCAACCTGCTGCGGTTTTTCAGAAAATAACTCAGAATACGCTAATATCAAAACTGAAAATGTATATACAACATAACTCCATTGCATGCCTGAAAGTTACATTTCTCCATAGCCTCTGGTTTCCAATGGTAAAATCCTTGTTAACTTTGTCTCTTTTAATGCCAGAAAAATTCCTTTGTTCCATTTATTAATGACAATCAAACCAAAATATTTTGTGGGGATAATCAACTTGAATAAAAATAGGAAATTTGTCAAGAAATTTGGAAAGGCAATTTAACCATCCTAAGGGAGATATTTGACACATCTTTTTCTTCAGGATAGGTTGTTTTTAGCTCTTAACTAGAAGTTCAACTTGATGCTGTTGGCCATTCCCAAATGGAAAAGGCAATTTAACCACCCAAAATGGAAAAGTTCATCTTTTTAGTCAGTTGATGCAAAATTTCTAATAGGTTATAATTCTTCCAGAAGGGTTGGTTGAAAATTGTTGAAAGGTGAGATTTTTCCAATATTTCTTTTGTAGATTGTACTTTAGTGGGACTCTTAAAAGCGATAATCTTTAAGGATCCAACGAATTCAGGAAGGGAAAAAAAAGTAAGGTTTGGAGTCAGGTGCTAATGACAGAATTGATGGATATGGTTTTTGCTCCTCCAAAGTCAACAAAGACTAGATCTTCCTCTGTTACCTTCTCAAAGGCATTGAAAGTAAGATATCGGAGGAAACCAAATCATATGGTTTGGACTCTACAAGAAGAGTCAGCTTCAATGGTTTAGCTTCCTCTAATTCTCACTTTCCGCTCAATGCCATTTTCCTTTTCCTTAAAGGTATTGGAGAAAATTAAACTATGTGCTTTAAATTATGATTTCCCACAAATGATTAAGCCTGACGATGTATGGAAACCCAAGCTAAAGAAGAATAGTTCTATTTCTAGTTCTACTCCTTTATATGTACATCCTCAAGAAACAATGAAGGTAAGATATTGGAGGAAACTAAATCACAATATGGTTTGCACTCAAAAGATGAGGAAACTTATATGATTTAGTTCCCTCCAATTCTTACATTCAAGATCCATGCCAGTTGCTGCTACCCCTCTGAAACGCTTCTCAACCTTTTCACTCTCATTCCATATTTTCATTGTTTCGTACTCATCATGAACCATTGAAAGTAAGATATTGGAGGAAATTAAACCATAAAACTTTGACCATACATACATCAGTAGACTTATGCTTTAGTTTCCTCCAACTCTTTCTTCCAAGATCCATGCTTTACCATATGGAAAAACGTGAGTGAAGGTTTTGTTAATTTTTTGGTAGTGAAGATGAATGACTCTTTTGCAAATAGCATGGAGACACATTATGTTAATTTCTATTTATAGCCCTAAATCTGAAGAAATTTTGTAGTCAAATGTCTGTTCTACCATATAATTAATGTGCATTCCCAACAACTTTTTTCATGCACTTCCTGTGATAGCCTGACATGATGAAGTCAGAGTAGTTATATATAAGGATTGCTAAGAAAATGTTCGCAAATGTAGGATTAAAAGAAGAAAATGAAAACAAAAGAATGGCTAATTTTGCATATTGTTAACCGTCAATTTGGTTCCTACCAAGTCCCATGGCCATTTCAGGAGTGAATTATTTAGTCCCTGCTTTTGAATGAAGTTATAACTTAGTCTTTCATGTTTCAAATTCTATAAGTTAGCCCTTTGAATTGTGTTGACTGTTGTCTTTTTAAACTCTCATCATGTTGGTTTTTCTCTAAAAATTTTAATTGCTAAATGTTACATTTGAGATTAAAAAAAAAAAAAACCAGATGTTTTAAAAAGACAAAGGCTAGCAAGAGTCAAGAACATAACTTTTAAGTTCTCAAACATGAAGAACTAAATTATAATCACTTTGAAAACCTGTTTCATTGTTTCCCTCAATAAAAACCAATACCTTCTCTGAAAATGGCGAGACAGTAAGATCCTCGATTCTTTTAGGATATGCCATTACATTAATGGCATTCATAAGTAGGGAATACTTAACAAACCATTTTGAGCAGCCTTTCTTCATGGCATAAACTACTATGGTTTGATCAGTAGACATATCAGGGGAGATCATACCCATGTTCATACCGTCAGGATTAGTTTGGTTGCCAGCTACAAGCCCAATAACATGCAAATGGCCACCAGACTCCCCGAAATTTTTGCCTCTCTTGGAATTCTTGACTTGAACACAACTTGCAATAATTTGCAGCACATACAGCGCATGGATGATCAGCTTTAATTGAATTAATCTGGGGTATGACTACATGAGTCAAAAATCGAATATTATTACTCTAATAGCCAAGCTGTCGATCTAGATAATTAAGAACTAAGAGTTTGGTGATTTGAAATATTGGGATAATATATTTTTCTATTTGGCATCAGAATCTATTACATTAACTACATTGTATTAGTTGAGAAGACTAATTCCTGAAGTGTTCGAAAGAAATGATGAACTGTAAAATTAACAGTTGCATTTTTATTCCTCAATAGTCAGTACTTAAGCTGCAATAATTCAAAAACATGTTGGACTATATATAGCAAACAGATACACCACTAGACACAAGATAAGGTCTCACTGTACTTGAAACCATAGCAGGGAGGAGTGAAAGTACTAAAAATATTCTTGAATGTTTTGTCCTTGAAGCTGTGAGATATGACTTCGCCAGGGATGTTCATCACCAGAAATGGCAGGGTCTCATTGTTCCCCTCACTAAAGGACAATAATCTCTTCGAACTGATAAGACTGTAGGAGCCACTATCATCTCAGGATATGCCATTACAATGGCATTCATATGCAGACAGTACTTAACAAAACATTTTGAGCAGCCTTTCTCCATGGAATAAACCACTATGGTTTTGTCATTAAACATATCAGAGGAGATAATAGCCAAGTTTAAATCATCAGGATTTTGGTTCCCAGCGGCAAACCCAATAAAATGCAAACGGCCACCAGACTCCCCAAAATACATGAAACTTTGACATTGCCAATACTCAGGAAGTGGTGGCCTTGGAATTGTTTGGAGGCATTCCTTACGAAGCAAAACTGAAACCATTCCCAGTAAGACTAATCCTTTAGACCCAAGCTAGTGTCTCAACGTAGTTGAAAGCATAGCAGGAAGCACGCCTGAAAGGAGCAAACCTGAAAATATTCTTGAATGATTTGTCTTTGAAGCTGTAAGACATGATCTTACCAGGGACTTTCATCACCAGCAATGGCCCTGTCTCATTGTTTCCCTCAATAAATGACAATACCTTCACGGAAAATGGTGATAGGGTAGGATCCTCTATTATCTCAGAACACGCCATTACAATGGCATCCAAATGTAGACAGCACTTAACGAACCATTTTGAGCAGCCTTTCTCCATGGCATAAACTACTATGGTTTCATCGTTACAGATATTGGCACTGCTGCTGTTTACCATTTGGTCAGTAGACATAGTGGGGGAGCTAATACCCATGTTCAAATCATCAGGATTCTTGTTGCCAGCCACAAAACCAATAAAATGCAAATGGCCTGCAGACGCCCCAAAATACCCGAAATTCTGAGTCTGCCAATTTTCAGGAAGTGGTGGCCTAGGAATTGTTTGGAGGTATTCCTTATCGAGCAGGAAACTGAAACCATTCCCCATAAGACTAATCCAATGAATAGCACCATTCCAAAAAACACCATTTGCGAATTTCACATATAAAGAATCAAAATTTTCTTGCTTCACAGAGATCTTCCAACCCTTGGTCTCAGATGAGTATACCTGAATTTCAAGCTTTGAGTTAAAGAAGTGAGTGCAGACAACCTGGTAGTGAGGGGATTTCGAAGGATCAAACACCAGTTGAATCCAATTAAAACGGAACCCATGGCCTGGAGGTGAAGGTAGCACTGCAAATTGTCTTGCAGTAGGATTGTATACATAATATGTTGGTCCAGATCTCTCTGCAGAATACCGTCTCCATTTAGAGCACAAAAGCAACCCATTGCTGGACTGGCAAATATAAGTCCTTCCCGGCTTATTGGGGTCAAAATGAAGAAAATCAGAAGGAAGTGGAACATTAGCTAGTGATTGCCCAAGAAGAGAAACCCGTTTGTAACTTGGTGGTTGCTTGAAAAAAAATGAAAGTTTGAGGAGAAAAGCAGAGGTGTTGTGAGGATTTAGGTGGGTGTGGCGCATAGCAAAAGTGGAGTCAGAGATGATGGTGAGCCATTTCTTGGAAACTAACTTGAATTTCAGGACGGATTTTGCAGGCAAACGCAATAGAATCTCGGTGACAAGATCATCATTGCTAATGACAGAATCAATAGATGATAAATTCTTCTGCTCTAGTGAATTCATTGTGGAAGGTAAATCGCTAGGTCAAGGGGAAGCCATTGATCACGCCCGTTGCCTAAAACAGTTTCTCTTTTAAGATTAAATTCTGTGTTTCGAAAGACGGCAGATTCTTTTTAGAGAAAGAAAATCAGATTACGTAGAGGTTAAGTTAGATGTTAGTTATTGTTCTTACCGCTTCAGGAACAAAACAATAGGTCAGAGTGGCATTTTCTATGTGTTGCTCTAACAACTATGTTGCTTCCATCGTTCCTTTTACCTTGAAGTAATATTCTTTTCCGACGTTAATTAGACATTAAGACACCGTATGGATATTTAATTACATGAAAAAAAAAAAAGACTGAATCGAACATGGATTTGCATGTCAGACATGCACCCATATCATGTACGCATCCCGAAACCCAGCAACAAAGCCTAATAATAATACGTACAAAGAACATAAATTTACTTATTGCTTTTCATAGAAATTCACGACAACATCAACCATTGAAAGTTGAAACATTTTTAAAAGTTAATTTTGTTGTACACTTTTGTTTCTTGTTACTGATCATGGTTTGCATTTGTAATTTCAAGTATGGATTTATTTTGGTATTTTTATTATTATTAGAGTTATGTTATATGTATGTTTTGTGTTCTCAAGTTAGGGTTAAAAGTTCTTCCTATATAATAAATTTCTTAGATGTATCAGTCATCCTCGGTCAGTACTTCATGTCCCAAAGATTGTGTGCATGCTAGATCTATTTGGCTGTTGTGTGGGGTTTCTATTATTATTTGGAGAATGACTAAAAAACAAATTAATAAAGAAAGAGTAAGAACGCAAGCAAATTATAATTAGTCTTTCTATTTTTGAAGAACAAATTAATCAGCCTATTTATTTGAAAAATTAATTATTTAACCATTTAATAAAAAAAATCATCTTTATATATATATAGTTTCTTAAAAAATCAAAATAAATTGAAAAAAAAACGAAGATAATTAAATTACAAGAAAAATTAAAAATATGGGGACTAAATAAATATTTTTGAAACATGAGGTACTAATTAATTCAATTCTCAAAACTAAATGTACTAGTTTATAATTTACCCGTAGAAACATATACCAATATATAAACCACCCAAGCTAAGGCCTCGACAATTCAACTGAGGACTGCATTATTGCTAAATCGAATTTATCTAGGTTGGGCCTGGCCTCATTTAGGTTTTCTACAGCCTTGTTTTGATGGTCCAAAGTACTGGGCTTAATGCCTGATTAACTTTGCAATCTATGGCCTTCTTACCGTCTCAAAACCTTGAATGGCCTTTTGATTTCAGCCTAATTTGAACCCACTTCTTCCAGAACTTAAAAAATAAAAATAATTATAAAAACAAAAATTGAGGTTGATTGGAAAATTTGCAAGTGTCTTAGAAGGTTTCCCTTAATTGTGTTGTATTCGAAAAGGATCATTAAATTTAATAGTTTCTCAAAAAATATGAAAAGATAAAAATACCAATAAATTATTGGAATTAATCAAAATAATTAAGGATTATTTATTTAAAAATTAAATATAAAATTTATGCTATAAATCAAATAAATATATGTGTGAATAATCCTAATCTTATAGAAAATTAAAAAAAAAAAAAAATCAATCCTAACATAAAAGGATCCACTAATTTTTTCTTCTACTTAGGAGCATTCTATGGTCCCTTGTACCATTACATTACATCAATTTATGGACAACTTCATTTAATTAAATTCAGGGCAGGATTGCTTTCTCAAAAATCAGCCAAACTTATCTAACTAAGAAGTAGGTTTTTTTTTTTTTTTTTGTGATTTGACTTATGTGATCATATAAATTGAGAAGACTTGAAACATCAACTACATTGTATTAATTGAGAAGACTTAAAACATCATAAAGTTTGCAATAGTCGAAACTAATTTCAGCTATAAAGTTGTTTAGAAGGTTAATTCAATTAATGTCAACCATGATTTTCTGCTCTACCTTTAAAACTAAAAGACTATCCTGTCAGATCCATTAAAATATCAAGAATTAAATTTTTTAGCGAAAATAGTAATTAGGGATGAAAAATATATATATATAATTCAAAATTCAAAATTTAAGAATAAATTTTTAAATGAATCGCAAAGTGCAGAGAAAATTTGACCAATTTAGCATTAAGAAGAAAAAAGAAAAAACTAATAGACATTTGTCAAAAGGATTAAATTATGTTTTCTGAAACCGAAAGAACTAAATTATTATATAGTAAAAATACAAAAACTAAATTATTATTTACTCAAACAAAACACATATCCATTTTGGAATTCGTATACTTGTTCAAAATCATTGTAAAATCAGTTTCGAGAAATCTTTACTTAAAATGACAATTAATTCAAGTTCGTTGCTTCTGAATATCATACCATATATTTTGATCTCATTCCATATTATCATTTCAACTGCCCATTTGAACAGGCAGCCCTAAAACTACATTCATTTCAATGACGTTTGTTTAAACTCTTGGCCTTGTACAGCTCTGCCAAGTTTGAAGTTTCAACAAATGTCAGTACCTAAGTTTTTCAGACATTTAATTATATGCAAACCCTTGAAAGAAGTCAAATTTATCGTAGACTTTTGTTCCTTTGATTTTTATGTCTTGTAGCTTAAGCATCTGCAAGTTGCATGCAATCCCTGATCTGGGGTACAATTTATTGCTCGATCGAGTTTGAACAGAATCAGAATGGAAGCCGAACCCATCACCCCTTTAACCCACTTGCTTAACTTTTCTGTGTAATTTTCAACAGGGCAATTTTCCAGCATTAGGTATCCTTCATGATCTGACCGGCAGGTTGATAAGCAACAGCCTTGCACGAAAGCAACATTTGACCAGTGTTAGACTAGGGTTTGGGACAATCATTGAAATTACGAACTAAATTTATCTACCAAGAACCCTTGAATTTAAAATAATTTCTGACTCTTTCCACATCATCACAAGTTACAAGTCTTTTTCAACAACTATACCATGCTTTCAATTATATGTAGCATATACTGCATAAAATACATAGTAGGAAAGAAGTATGGATCATGATAAATCCACTTTAATTAAACAATATAAACAAGGTCAATTCTTATCTCCTTGAATTTGATTCTTTATTGGTTCACCCCTGCCAGCCTAATGTCCAAAAGAGAGTACTTATCCAACAATGACACCTCTAAAACATTAACATGATCATGGATTATTAATCAATCCAAAATCTTAAACATGATTATGGATTATTAATCAATCCAAAACCTTACACGGTGAGATTTTAAAAATAATTTTATATTACTATCAAAGAGATTCCAGAAATGGTTTTTTATTACTATAAAAAATTTAAATTTTTTATATTTAAAACTAGCATAGACCTACCTTGTATTTAATTAAAAAATAAGATTAATGAAATTCAAATTCATATTCATATATTAAAAAATTATCTTAATCCAAAAACTTAAATTATTAGATGAGATTTTAGAAATAATTTTATATAGACCAACTCTTTGATTATCTGACCAACTCTATTAGATTAATGTTTTACAAATCTCTCTAATGCGAAATTGAAAAGGTATGAACTGGTTATAGTTTCTGTCTGCTATAAAAGTACATTATTTATGAAAAACATAAAGTTATGGGACCTTTCTGGGTTGAAATATATATACACAAGTCCAATGACATTAAAGCTTGAAGACCTCAAGCTCCTCATGTAGTACAAAAGTTAATGGCAAACATACATGAGACAGCTATGCAAGAATTTAACTTTTATCATCAAAAGAAAGAACTAAATACATCACACCGCGTGGACAAAAAAAAATCTCTGATTCTCAAGAAATTATTTAGAGAAACGTCATTTCCATTAGCTGTCAGGTCCACCACTAAAAACCAAGTCAATCGTAATCACACGCCTGCATATTTTCCAAACCACTTTATAACACCCATTATTTTTGCCCACCTAGTAATTCTACGTGCGCTTGTAAAATTCTAGTAATTCTTTCCACTATATATACCTTCACCATTTGCATGCAAAATCGTTCAACTCCTCCTTTGTTCTGTCTTTCTCAAAGCTTGTCAAATTTCTCTCCTACAAATCATGACTTGTTCAACTGTCTTTACTTGTTTTCTTGTAATAAGTTTTTTATTTGTGGCAACTGCTTTGGCTGGCAACTTCAACAAAGATTTTGATATTACATGGGGTGATGGCCGTGCTAAAATCCTTAACAATGGCCAGTCTCTTACACTCTCCCTTGACAAAACCTCTGGTTCAGGGTTTAAGTCCAAGAACCAATACTTGTTTGGGAAAATTGACATGCAACTAAAGTTGGTGCCTGGAAACTCTGCCGGAACTGTCACCGCTTACTATGTGAGTCTTGTTTTTTTGTCTTTCTTCGCATATATATAATCTTTCGGGTTCGAATACGAGACCTCTTGGAGGAGAGGGTACGTAAACTGTTGTTAATTTTGTTGGATATTTGTGGATGGTGCAGCTATCTTCTGTGGGATCAGCCCATGATGAAATAGATTTCGAGTTCCTTGGCAATCTTAGTGGAGACCCTTATATTCTTCATACAAACGTATTCACTCAAGGAAAAGGAAATAGAGAGCAACAGTTCTACCTTTGGTTTGACCCCACCAAGGACTTCCACACATATTCCATTCTTTGGAATCCTCTTAGCATCATGTAAGTCCCAATTTTTTTTTTTTTGCATGACCCTAATCAATAGGTAAAGAATAATAAATCTTTAATTAGTTGGTGTAGTGAATTTCACTATTCAAACTGGTTGGTCCAACTGATTAACAAATTCTTGTAAATCATCTTTGACTTTTCTTTTTTCTCTCAAAAAATTATTAGATAGTTCAAAATTGTGGTAAACTGTCAAAAAAAAATTATGTCAACCCAAAACTATGCAGTAAATTATTAAAAAATCATCTCAATTAAAAAATTATTAATAAAATTTCAGAATTTCTAATATATCTATTCAAATAAAAACACAACCAATACTT